TTATTATGGGTAAGTTCCCATAACAGTCTCTTTCTTACCGACTTGACGTGGTTTTCTTATCTCATTTCTACACAATATTTTCATGGTAACTGCCCTGGGGATCTATTTGCCCTAGTGATCCGACTACATCTATGTCCTACAATTTTACTGTCGAAATAGCTAAACACAACCGCCATTTTTATTCCAACAGTTTCTTTGATCGCGCTTATCCACCTGTGTGACTCTCTTTCTTTTAATTGCTTCCCGATAACTACACTCGTCTAAACTTTAAATGCAACTGTAATCGACATCTGTCTTCTTGTATCCTGTTCATCATTTGTTCTTTACTCCGTCCTTTCTATTTGTTGTGGATTCCGAGATGAAATTCGGTCTCCAATGAATGACAAACGCAAGAATTAAATATAAGGAATTGAATGTATTTACACAATAATACAATGGCTAATACTGTTAGTAAATCCAGGAACGCCGTTAGTAGCAATAATAATAATAATATATATATATACAGTGTAACCCGGATATAAGAGACCCGGATATAAGAAAAACCCGGATATAAGAGACTTCTTCTCCGGTCCCGACAACTCTCTTATATCCGGGTTACACTGTATATACAGTCTCGAAGTAGGACTTCTACAAGCGGTTACCTCACACTATTACTATACCTCCTACTCAATCACAATCTCTGCTCACTTTCTCTATATATATTCTGACTGACTCTGGGTATTTAACGGCAGCAGTCCTGGTCGAGTCCACTTATATGAAAAAGGGGAGGTCTCCATAACACTATTCTCAGTCTTCTCTTTGATTTTAAATCCCTGTTTACTAGCGGCATTTAAAAGATGTAGTCAGCATTATTTTACATGTGTTTTGTTTTCTTTTTGTGAAACCGTAAGTTTGTTATAAAACCATAAGTACTCTACCTCAATATATTCTGTTCTTCAAATCATCGTAACAACTTTCATTTGAAGACTAAGAAATATAAAATATTAATTGCAGCGGTCGTCCCAGTTGGACTCCGTTTTCCGTTTAAGGAAACGTAAAAGTATAATGTAAAATTGATGGCAAGTTCGTGTAATTCTCAATATTGCTTGATATAGTAAAATGCATCCTGTAATAATTATTAGAATAATTGTCTCGAAAACTATTAGTATTAGATCAATTAATTTAATCAATATTATGATTACTTGATATATATGCGGTTATCCTTCGAATCCAGAGATGACGTATCGTTTCTGAATGTAAACTTGGAGGTGGCTCCGCAACCCCAGGCTGGAGGCGCAGAGTCTGAAATAGTAGGGGCACTGAAAATTCCGTTGTCGTAATCACTGCTGTTGACGCCCTGTGGCGTTGATCTCTTCAGTCGTTGAGCATCTTCGAAGGTGACAGCAGCATCATGGATTGTGATTCGCTAACGTGATCGATCACCGGTACGCTTCTCTAATTCTTTGGGTTTGAGCTTGCATCCCGGGAGATTTGCTTTCACAGTGTCTTTGTATCGCTTCTTTGGACCACCTTGATTTCTCTTGCTGTGCAAGAGCTCTCCGTACAGCAGACGTCTTGACAAGGGTTGCTCTTCCATGCGGATGGGATGTCACACTCATAAGAGTTGAACTTAAATAAGTGTGGACTCAAAGCTTGAGGAGTGAGCACGATCCAGGACTTCAAGGTTGGTAACGCGGTTCTGCTAGCGAATTCCGATTATGGAACGGAGAGCTCGCATGTGGAAGTTCTCCAGCTTCTGTCTGCGGTACAGTGTCCAAGATTCACAACCATATAGGAGGGAGGGCAAAACCACTGCATTGTACATTCGCAGCTTTGTAGTCAACCGAATGTTGTGTTGACTGAGCACACTGTTATGAAGTCTTCCTAATGCCTGACAAATGTCGATTCTGGGATCAATTTCCGTGTCCAAGAAACCGTCACGAGAGATGGTACTTCCCAGGTATTTAAAAGACTCATCATTGGCAATCAGCGTGTCATCGATGACGATGGTCGGTGCTGGTGTGCTTGTGTAAGGTGTGGGCTGATGAAGCACCTGAGCCTTGCTGAGACTGATTGTCAGGCCGAAGAGCTTGGAGGCGTCAGAGAAGCAGTCCAGCATCAACATCGGATCAGACACTGCCACTAGTGCACAGTCATCAGCAAATAGGACTTCCTGGAAGAGATCTTGGAGGCTCTTTGTTTTGGCAGTGAAAGTTGAAGAAAGGTCGATGAATGTAGACTCCTGTCCAAACGGTGGACAGAATGGGACAACATGCAGCTAAAAGATCGTTGAATAGGAGCGTGGGACAGCATGCAGGCTTTGCTGATCTTGAAAGTGTCCGCCACGTTACCACTGGAGAAGACCTGGCCAGTCATGCCGTCATGGAATAGCATAATCCTTGTCACGAACTTCGTTGGGCATCCGATGAGCTCAAGGTCTGTCCACAGTGCTTCCCTGTTGAACGTGTCAAAAGCCTTGTTCAGGTCAATAAACAGAATCTAGAAGCCTGTATTGTTCGATGCAGTTCTCCTGAAGTTATCCCAAGGCAAAAATCATATTAACCGTACTTCTTCCTGACCTGAAGCAGCACTACGTCTCTGGGAAGTTTTTTTCTGATACTGTGATGAGTCGGTTGAGAATGACCCTGACGAAGATTTGCCAGCGATAGAGAGAAGTGAAATTCCTCTGTAGTTTCCGCAGCCGGCTTTACTACACTTGTTCTTGTAGAAGCAGACAATCAGGGTATCACGGAAATCATCCGCTATTTAGTCTCCTCCCAGATACTTAGCAGGACACTATGAAAGGCCGCCAAGGCGTTTGGGCTTGCCACCTTGTTGATCTCGGCAGGAATTCCGTCTTTTCCCGATGCTCTGACCGAGCTCGTCCGAAGTAGTGCTTTCTTGTTCTCGGAAATAGTTGGCAACACGGCGAGTGCGTCCTATATCGGCTGGTTAGGGATATGGTTCAGTGAGTCTGCGTTGACCGATGAGGGTCGGTTGCTGAAGTTTTCTTGCCAGCGCGTGCTTAGACCACCCTGGTCCTTGATCAAAGTTGTGCCATCTGAAGACAGCAGATGAGAGCTGCCTGATGCAGATGCACCGAAGACTGTCGTCAGTGATCTGAAGAAATTCTTGGCTTTATGATTATCAGTGTAGTATTGAACTTCAGCCGATTTGTTCTGCCACCACTGGTCTTGCATCGTGCTTAGATCGGATTACACTTTGGCCTGGCGAGTCTTGTTTCTATCACGTGACGGAAGATGAGTCCTTTTGCCACTCGATGAAGGGTTCCTAGCATGGAGGGCTTCCTTAATCTTCTGATTGTTCTGGTCAAAACAATTTCATTATTTCTAATATTTTCCCCAGGAACCCCCCCTAGCAGTCTCAGCGATGGTGTCCCTGAAAGAAAACCATTTTCCGGTACGCCTTCGGGGGTCAGACTGTCTTGGAGATTTTCGTCAAGCAGCTGCTGAAATTGGGAAACTGAAACTTTGAAAAAAAATGTCAGGTCTTTCAGTCTGGCAACGTTGTAGGAAACCCTAACAGTCTTGGGTCGGTTTCTGTGAAGCGGTGGTATGTGCAGCGTCAGTGTATCCCTGACCAGCCCGTGGTTAGTCCAGCATTCAGCACCACACATAGCGCGAGTCATACGGGCGTCTTTGATGTCGCGTTGGCGTACAATGATGAAATCGATTATTTGCCAGTGTTTTGACCTCGGGTGTATCAAAGTGGTCTTGTATTTATCAGCCTTCCTGAGCAAGGTTTTGGTAATGCAGAGGCCGTGTTCTGCATACATGGCGAGAAGCAGCAGGCCGTTGTAACTGACCTTGCCTACTCCATGTCTGCCGAGTACTCCTTACTTATCCATTGTAGTTACTTCCTAATCTGGCATTGAAATCTCCAAGGATGACGTTTGTCATTCTGTTGGGTTGACTTGATAACTTTATCAAGATGTTGGCGTCGTCTGGGCTCGTGAGCCTGGGTGCATATATACTAATGACCGTGAGGTGTCTTGACATACTGTGGGAGGAGGTGCGCAATTTCATGAGGTGTTCATTGAATCCAACTGGGACAACTGATATGCTTTTAATCAGAGCTGTTCTGATCGCGAATCTTACGCCATGAATCCTGTCTTCAGCTAGAGGTTTTCCTTTCCAGAAGAAGTTGTATCCACCCCTGCTTCTCTTAGGGAACCTTCATCGGCAAGCCGGGTTTCGCTGAGTACTGCAATGTCTATTCGGTATTACTGGAGTTCTTTTGCGACAAGCGCTGTTCTGGACTCGACGTACTGGCTCTATCCAGTAGTGTTCGAACGTTCCAGACTCCCAAAATGAGCTTCTTGTGATTATTCTTTTCATTGTACGACCGCAATCATGATGAGTCTGTCAACCACGGTAAGCCGACCACACGAAAAAAGAGCAAACATTTGTTTGGGGCAACTTTTCTAACCCCCTCCTCCATTGAGGTCTGGTCGTGCTGTACTAAAGAGATTTCTCACACGCCCACGGGTGCTGCCAGACCCTCCTGTTGCGCTCGGATTCCGGAAAAAAAAACAACCAATTGCCTATGGACCGTTTACGTGTATGATTTTGACTACAACCGCCATTGGTCACTTCCACCAGTTGCTTCGCCTCGTGCCTATCGCCGCAGGACTTGTGGGGGGGTGACAGATCTGTGAGGTGTTGATGATGAGTAATAATAAATAATGTTGCATAACGGACATGTGCGTGAAGATTTTATAGTGAGAAGATCGTTGAACGGGGACAATCCCCCCACACTCTCGGCCTGGGAAGTCTTGATCCAGTGGCACTGAGAACCGTTACGACGGGAAACTGCCAGGCTGCAGTGGATGACCAGGACTTCATTGGGTGTCACGTCCATGCTCTAGGGCGCTGCGCAACACTTGCTGCCGCCGCTTTCACAACCGTTGGATCCACAGGTGATTTCTTCCGCTCGTCCTGCCCGGAATCATTCTTCGCATGCAGTAGGGCTGACACGGCCCAAGCCTAACTACAGACCTG